CTCTCTCTCTCTCTCTCTCTCTCTCTCTCTCTCTCTCTCTCTCTCTCTCTCTCTCTCTCTAAAATAAATTTTATCGACTCGTTTCGATCCCTAGTAATCGTTATATATTCTCTCAAACACATCATAATCACAAATATTTACATATCATATCTATCTGTAAATGATATCTGTAAATGATATCTACCTCTCTCTACCTTTCTATCTACTTTTTCTCTTACATCAATAATGCTAGAGATTATAATGCTATTATTTAAACCATGTGCTAGTTTTTATATTTTATATTAATTTCTGACACATGTACTATTGTGCATTAGAGAGGAATCTTCACAGAACGCAAAATAAATACTGCTTTTCTCTCTTTTTCGTATTCGTCCCCAAGTAAAATTTAGAAATGTTCCGCCGGCGTCCGCGCGCGCGAATATTCGCGGTCAAGAAGAGCAACGGAATGTCAAGGGTGCCTCGGAGATCTTAACCTAGGGGTCAGGAGCGCTCTCTCGACGTCGAGTATAAGATATATCTTATGCATAATGCCTTATGAATATATTGTCGATAAACCGGCGCGTTCTGTTTTCCCGCCCAGCAAAATAGAGGAAAGAAAAATGAAAGAAAAAAAAGAGGACATAATTCACAATAACTGCGCTGCCCGCGGTAATTATCATAAATTAACGTCGGATAAAACGTTATTAATTATTATTGCGAGTTAACACTCGGTTGCTCCCTGGATATGTTCTCCGCACGCTATACCGTGTTCTTAAAATGTTAAATTTCGCGCAGATGTAGAAAACTTTAGGAGTTGCGAACAATTATTGCGCGTGTTATTTTTATTAAATATACATCTCAGTTATTCGTGATTGCGAGTCTCAACTACACGAGACGAAAACATGATTCGCCTTGTCGCCTTGCTACTTCCTCCAGCTCGTGCAGGTAAAGCGAGGCGATAATCGGCAAAGAATGAAGATCGACGGCTGAATTCCTGGCGGGCCTGTCGGTCCCATTGGACGAACTACACTAGACTGTCAAGATAACTGATCGTTCCTCTTAATAGGCGCTACCGTACGCGAAGAGTCGTCGAATTCTCGAGATACCTGCAGGGCGTCGTAAAACGACCGACGTCCGGCGTCTCTCTTCGGAATGCTCACGAAGAGCAGCATTCGCTGAGTCGCTTAGGGACGTATCTCGTGAGTAGGAAATGAAGCTCTCTCTCTCTTTTTCTCTCTCTCTCTCTCTTTCCCTCCTGCTTCCAAAGGATGGACATGTGTTTACCGACGAATACAAGTGCGATCCTGGTTAGAATAGTTGTCGCGCAATCGAGCCGGCGCGTCAATTCCGGGAATTCCGGAATATTGCGGCATCTTCATTTCGTCGTGACGTCGTTAGCGTCGCAAAAACGCACTTCAACCCTCTCTCGAAACTAACGACGGGCTTCTCGCGCGTTCTCGTTAACGTCGTATCTTAACGACGCCCGTGCTTTCTCCCGCTCTTTTTCTCTCTCCCTCTCTCTCTCTCTCTCTCTCTCTCTCTCTCTCTCTCTCTATCGTTTTCTCCGACTCTCTAGGCAGCGAAAGCGAGGAAAACCAACTCACCTAGCCATCTACCCACCCACGCTGTCTCTGTTACCCGCAACTTCAGCTGAGTGGTGACAATACCACGCTGACGCCCGTACGAGTAACGTGCCGAAGAGAATTGCGTCCCGAGATCTGTCGTGTCGCTGAGCCCGGTATAGTCGTGAGACTAAAGAACGCAGAGAGTAATCTTGTTTTACGAGAAATGCCGATCTCTCTCCATTGAGGAGCAGCCGTATCTCGAGTCGAAACGCACGAAATATGATTGTTAATGCCCGTCACCAAATTCCTTTAACCCTCCGCGTACAATCATATTTTTTGGGACATACAGTACAATCAGAGCTTGCAATTCAAGACTTAACAGTATCCTATCTAACCCGATTGTCAAATATAACCCAGTCTGATCTGTATTGACTTCGGGAAAGTCGGATCCGAGTTTCTGGCCTGAAAAAATTTCTTATCAGGACAAGAAAAGTCTGATCGAGAGTCTCATCTTACCAAAGCGGATTAGGCCGCGTTATATATGATAACAAATCGAGGCAGGATTAGCTACTATATATTTTCGACCTAATTAAGAAACCTTCTAACACTATTTTTAGGCAAAATTGAAATACTTATACTATGTGATTAATCTTGATAAAGTAAATCGTATAATATAAATATCTCAATTTTGTCCAAAAATGAAGTTAGGTTTTCTAATTAGGCCAACGATATATATTGGGCTTTGATTCTTGCAGGAAATAGTACTCGAGAAATAGACTCGAGTAACTTTGAGTTACTATATAATGTTGTGGGAGATCAATATTGTTTAATACATTTAAAATAAAGAAGCCAAAAATAGAGAAGCCTCAGCTATGAGAGAATAGCGCAACAAGATTAAAATCTGCAAACAGATTTGTTCCATTTAAAATTTTCCCGAATTCTCTACGAGAGTTGGTGAGCGATCGAATATCCGTTCGGGTCTCACAGATTCGACATTGTATACGCGAAGGATCAAAGCCCCAAATTCTTATTAGGAACAACTCGAGCAAAGACGCGGAGACAGAGAGAGAGAGAGAGAAAGAGAGAGAAGCGTACAACGAGGGTGAATCAAGCGGAAGGCCTCGAAACTGTGTCGCACCGGTGTCGCGCCGGGGCGATTTCGTTTAACGACCCACCTCCGCGTCGTAAGCTTTGCAAATAACACGCAAGCAGGGTAAGCCTTCGTGGGAGCGCGGTGTTATTACGGGGAACAACGCGCGCGCCACGTTAACGGCGCAGCGGGTGAGGCATATCCCAGGTCTCGTTTCTCGCGACACTCCGACTAAATCCACTCATATTTCACTCCATCGAGAAGTCGAATAGTCTGGCCGCAAAATCGGGGGCGTCTGTCGAGCGAGAATAAGTGCCGTCTATGCGACGAGGAGAAGGGAAGAGAACGAGCAGGAGAAGAAGGAGGAGGAGGAAGAGAAGAAGGAGGAGGAGGAACAAGTAACAGGCCCGAGATCTTGTTGCCCTACGTAATAGTGGAAATAAGCCGGTTGCGCCGCGCCCGCCGGTATCGCCCTCGCCCGCTTTGGTATTCCTGGGGAGGAAATGAAGATTTCCCAGTGCCCGCCGCAGACCGCCCGCTCACAAGTCGGTCAGCAAACGGAGGAAGTCTCGAAACTGGTTTGTCGGATAATTGAGATCCACCAATGGGAATCCGAGAAACTTGGAGAATCTCGGCCGGCGGACTGTAACGATCCTGTGTACCGCGTACGCGGAGATTCGCCACGGTGGTATTTCCAGCAGCAAGATTTAACGGCGGCGTCAGAGGGTGCGAAGGGGAGGGGAGGGTGGGAGAGAGAAACACGTTTCTTCGACGCTATGTTCCGCCACGGTCATTGATTCTTACGAGCGTGCTCCGCGGGACAAAAATTCCGGACACGCCGATATCGCCCTCGCGGAAATTAAGCGGGCTCTTAACGCCTCAAGACACGACCGCGGTATCACGCGGAGCCGTCGGCGGCGGCGGGGGCGGCGGCGGCGGCGGCGGGGAAAGATATCGATGTACCTTTAACCGGTTCGAGAGAACGGGAGCGCTTCAAAAGAATCCGTATATCTCGTGGTTCAATGGTTTCCTCTCGATCGCATACAAAGCGAATCTCTCGGACGGAAACTCCCAATCATCCGGAATTGATTCCGTCGGTACTTCCTCTACGGGGGAGGGAAAGGCTGTTTCCTCGCGAAATAATACGAGTATAATTCCGAGCGACCGCTCTTCTGCATGGTTATTGCATTTCATTTTGGCTGCCAACTTTTTCCCTCCTCTCGGTCGCGCGGAAAAATATGGGACGAGAAGCGCGCTGGAATATACGCGATGAAAGGGAGCATTTCGGGGGCATTTGGGAACAGCCGGAATTATAGGCGAATTCGATTGTCGACTTTTGTCCTAATTCCCGTTGCGACAGATCCCGTTGATAGATCCAAATTGCCAAACGCCACGGACATAAAACAGCTTTGTTGCACGGAGAAAACGGTAATTATTTAGTTAAAGGGAGTCAGCTCTAATTACCTCGACTTTGACATATCTTATTGAGGATATATCTTCTTACTAAGTAACCTATTGTAAGTTTTAGCCGTCGTTTATTGTTTATTAAAAAAAAATTATTATAGAAAAAGTCACATAAGTGCAACAGATTTGTTTGACATTATGTAGGTAGAACTGTAGTGAACATTAAATATAATATTCTCAGTTCTTATTTACAGGCGAGCATTCTGATTATGTAGATATAATTGTTTACGTATGTAAACAGTGATCTTCAGTACTCTTCAGTTGTCGTTGAGAAGCGTTATATGCTGTTATATTGCTGTTATATACAGTTCTCATAGCTATGATTCTATATAATATATATAATATTCAGTTAATATATTCTCGTACATATAATTGCCTCAACTAAAGGAATATTACTGTCTCTTTGTTGTGGTTTGCAGAACAAATATGGTTGAGAGATCTATAGAATTTGGTTGCATCATACAGCATTGAAAATACTACTCAAACACATATGGATAGGCAGAAAAGAAAATTAATGTTTTACTTCTAAAGTACTAAGAGTACTACAATCATCTTGCATGCATGCGAAAAATAACATTAATATTTTGTTATGGCAACCATCTATTTAGACAAGTGATATTTTTAGTATTTCCTCCGTATGCCGATGAAGGATTGCCTCGCAGCGTTTCCGCTAGTAGAGTTTCTTACGTAATAAAAGGGAAAATTACAGACAATGAAGAAAATTAAATAACAAAATACACGCGACTGTCTTCTTTGTTGCAGAGCCCGTGACAGAGATAGCCGGTGGTCCGGATCTGTTCATCAACAAGGACAGCACGATAAATTTGACGTGCTACGTGAGATACGCGCCCGAACCGCCGTCTACGATAATTTGGAGTCACAACCACCAGGTAAGTTGATCTTACGACTTGCGAATGACTCGCCCGCCGCGCTGAAAGTCACTGTCGCCGCAATCGCGTCTAAAACTTGCGTCACCAAGGCGCTTTCAACTGAAGCCCATCTGAATTTCATAACCTATCTACGCCGGCGAGCGAGCGAGACGCTGACATCGGTACAAACAGAAACATTTTTCATGTTTCTCGTAGTCGTTAAAAGAAAAATAAAAAACTAAAGAGAGAGAAAGAGAGAGAGGGGAAAGAGTTCGCAGCTGTGTACGAGCTCCCATCGACCTGACGCGTCTATCGATTATCACGGGGTAGCGTGCTACTGGCGCTCCTTCGAGCGTGAGATATTTATGGAAGACGCCGACAGTGCGACGTGTTTTCTCCGTGGTCGATGAAATGACGTATTTGCGCTCCGCCGATCGGCCGATGCGCGATGTCAAAGCATCCAGGAGAACAGCCGCTTTATTCGCAGACTGAAGTAATTATTCTCTCATCGCGCGAATATACAGGGTGTCCGGTAACTGATCGAGCAACCGCCGTGTACGGGTAGAACGGGTCAAAATAATCATAAAAGTTTATATACTATTTTGAAATTTTCTCAATATTTATTATAATTAATTAAAATGTATAAACGAATGAGCTCACGAAAAGCGGTAGGACAGGTTCTGTGTGTAAAAGAAATGGCTTACCTCTTAGCAATGATGAGTAAACAGCTGATTTCAAGGCGGAGTAACAAACGATCCGTATACGTTACTCCGCCTCGAAATCAGCTTTTTACTCATCGTTGCTAAGAGGTAAACTATTTCTTTTACACACAGAACCTGTCCTATCGCTTTTCGTGAGCTCATTCGTTTATACATTTTAATTAATTATAATAAATATTGAGAAAATTTCAAAATAGTATATAAACTTTTATGATTATTTTATTCTACCCGTACACGGCGGTTGCTCGATCAGTTACCGGACACTCTGCATATCTCCGTTAATATCAGAATATCTTGCGGCACCTCGCCGCGACGCGGCGTGAATCGTATCGTTTATTCAGGTGCATCTTGAAAGTTTCCGGACGTGTATATATTTTAAGTTGGTCCCCACGCAAATGATAAGTAGGCAAATATGCCCGTAATGTTACGTCAGCCTCGTTCCGGCTTCAGAGTCCCGGCGACAGCGCTTATTTCCGCGAACGCATACAAGTGGAATAACCGAGACGCTTGCATAGACGTCGCTTTAAGTCGTACTTTCGGGGAAACTTGTCTCGAAACGCTTTCTGCCACTCAGGGAAGACACCTACAGTCGCCACTTTTGCCTCTTCCGCTTGCCACAAAGTGCCTTAAACCTCATCCAGTCACGTCAGTAACAGAGGAAACGGTGCACTTGCCTCTGTCCTCCGTCACGGGCGAGTAATTAACTTCTGAGCCCGGCTGGTTATTCATACTTACATCGCGATTGTCCGCGACAATTGTGTTCAGCAGTGGATGTGTCGAGAAGTAGGACTCGTGCGACGACGTTTCAGCATTAATCGCGATTACATGAATCACTTACCACTGATGTTTCATCTTTTTTATTTGTGAAAGAAAAGGACCAAGCTCTCACAAGCTATTAGCCTCATTTTGTGAAATCTTAAATTGTAGCTATTGATGAGTAAATATATAAGATATATAAGATATATAAGATATATAAATATTAAAGTGACGCGCCTCACCATTTGGGGAAAATGGCCAAAAAAGATATGTCTTCTGCCAAAATAAATGATGTCGTTAGGACCCTTACAGGAAACGTGTAGGAAATGTTGCAAGAGAAATGTAAGTCTTTATCAATAAAATAATGCAGGTCATAAATGCTAATAATATTTTTTAATTTAAGGTTATTTCTATCAAGCTCCAATTAACTTATCGATTAATTCCATTGTGACTAACAAATAGCTATTAGCCAATACTATTAGTTACAATTGCTAGTTACAATTTATCGACGTTTAGATTAATTGAAGTTTGGTAAACATCACTCTAAATTAATAAATATTGTTAACATTCATAGTCTATATTATTTTATTGATAAAGACCTTCATTCTATTTCTTGCAACGTTTCCTGTGAGGATCCTAACGACACCATTTATTTTAGCAGAAGACGTATCTTTCTAGGCCGCTTTCTCCCAAATTGCGAGGCGTATCACTTTAATATATATAATATCTTCAATTTACTCTCATAAATTGTTACAATTTTATATATAAAAAAATAACTTAAGATTTCGAATACTGCAAAATATGAAGCTAAATTTGATCGCATTCTTTCGGACGTTGACATTTATCTCGATATTTCGTGTTCACCTCAATCCGCTCTCAAAACGAGCTGGAACACTCTCTATATTTAAAATGTTGACTGCCCAGCGTAAATTAAGTATGTATATGAAACATAGCTGTCACCCATATATGGATGACGAGGCAGTCAACGTGTTAATAGTAAAAATAAGCATGAATTTTAGTATAAAATTAAATATTACAAAATGTTTTGCAATAACATACTTTTCGCCGATTAAAAATCGTTAGTTTTTTTATTAACATTTGCACGGGAATCTCCAGATGGAAGTAGAACGATCACAATTCAATTGGAATTAATCGAACGTGATTAATTCATTGATATAATGAATTCTGCTTCATATAATGGGGTTTAAAACAATCATGTATAATGATCTGTTCAACAGATCGAGCAATTAATTACTGATCACGGTGAAACTCATTCGAGTATCCGCCATTACGATAACATCGTAATGGATTTTGAGATAAAAATAATAACACGTATATTTTGTTTCACGAGTAGAAAGAAACGTCGAGAATAGTAACGATCGCTTTTTAAAGTTGAGCTTGCAATTTTTTTCCAGTGAACTTTAGCCTAACGCTGAGATTTCGCTGTTATTATAGAAATGTTTTCCTGCGACGCTCGAACAATCGTAAGTGTTAGATGAGGAGTCGAGATTCGAAAGCAACGCGAATTTTCAGATTTCGTTTGATTCGTTCATGTCGCTATCTTCGTCGGCATTCCGAAGATTTTCGTGACTATGATCATACGTATCACCAGATATCACCGGTAGAAATTTAAAATAACGATTAAAGATAACTTGGACAGTCTTTCCTTATTTCTATTAAGGTTCTGCAAAGACAGATCCACTTAGCTTCCTACACCAAGATATAGCGCTTTTACAAATTAGTGTCTAGACTTGTAAATCTGACTAAGCCTTATCTTGATATGTCTAACTACATGTGTGGTTATTTACAAATCTTCTACAAGTAATATCTCGATCATTATTGCGATTTTCATGAAACAGATATTGGACTTTTTTTATTTATCTTAATTCGCTCTACGTCCTTATGAGAGATTGTAAAATCGAGCTGGAACATTCTGTATAATAAGACTCTTATAAAAAAATACCTTTTAAATATCAATCATTAATTATTGATAAATGATCGCTTCTTCATTGAAACTATTTCAGCAATGTGTTAACTTGTCCCTGATCGAGCCTTGTTAGTACAAGCCTTGGGGTATTCACGTCAACATAAATTCATAACCTATTTACGAAATTCCATTGAAGATTTGCCTACTTTGACCTATTTTGGCCCTACAAAGGCATGCCTATTTCAGAGCATTTACGTCAATCTATGATCTATTTATGAAATTCTATTGAAAATTTGCCTATCTAGTTCCTACGAAGCCATGCTTCTTTTAGGTAATCATAGATGGTTAGGACCACTATATTTAGGGTTTACCCCGATTAATTTTTATCCGGGATATTTTATAGCAAGGAAAGAATGGCAGAATCGCCCAAGAAATGAATATCATATGCTTAGAAAAAGTCCTGGGGAAGAAGAATTTTTGTCATCGCGGCGAACACGTTCCACCGACGCTTCCTTTCCTCTTCCTGTTTCGCCCACAGAGTAGCCCCATCCGTAGCCGGTCACGTCAGGAGCGAATAAGTCGACGTGCTTTTTATCCTCCTTCTTTCGCAGGCGATTAACTTCGACTCACCGAGGGGTGGCATCAGCCTGGTAACGGAAAAGGGACCTGTGACTTCGAGCCGTTTACTCATTCAGAAGGCGATCGAGAGAGACACCGGCCTTTACACGTGCTCGCCCAGTAACACTCATCCTAACAGCGTACGGGTCCACATAGTCAACGGTAAAGGAAAAATGCCAACTTCGCTTAGAACTGGCACTCTACGTGCAGGCATTCGAGCCGTTTACCCTCGCGCGGAATGCCATTTAGATCCAAAGTGGACACATACTAACCAGTAACCTTCACCCTACGATACACGATACACATACGATACGATTTTATTTATTTGTTGCAGTTTGATACAGTACTTAAAAAGATTATGCAAAAGAAATTAGCTCAAAATCTATTTCAGCCCGTATAAAATGTGTCTCATTTTAATGATACCATCAAATATTTTGCGGGATTCGAAATATGATGAATTGTATAACAATGGATGTATATTGAACGGCACACGATTTTAATCGGTTCTTTATCGGCTGGCACTTTGAATCATCAAAAACTCGCGCGCGCATCCGCATGGCGGCTTTTAAAACAGTTAATTGACCGCGGTATCGGCAGTGATCTCGGGAGCGGTCTCGAGAGCATCAAGCCGCCCGTTCGAGTACACGGAAAGAGTCTTCTCGCTGAAAACGCTTAGCTTGTAGCCGGTCGAGTGGAGTGCGGCAGCTTCGCCCAAAGCGAGAGCTCGCGCTCTCAGCAGCACGGAAGCGTCGCTCTAAATACCACCTGCTATGCTTCGCCCGAGCGAAACGGCATTATAGCGTGGCGTTTGTTTCAGAAGAACACCCGCCAGCGGCGATGCATCACGGCGACGGCGACAGAATGGCCGCGACGTTGCTTCCGGTCGTCCTACTTCTTTGGATGATATTCTAGCCGACGCTATGCACTCCGGGTTGAATGTGTGGAACTTAACGCGCCGGTCGCCTAACTCCTCTGCACGAACCACCGGTTCGTGAGGTTCTGTCTCGCGGTTTTGTCTCCGGGGATCCAACTCGCTGCGACGCGCATTCGACACGTCCCGCCCTGCGAAAGTAGCGGAATCTCAGCGTGGGTTCGCGTCGCGTCGTTCCTCTCTATCCTCCCTCTTTCTCTACACTCTCCCGTTGCGTTTCTCCTGTCTCGTTGTTACGCCGATTGGGAGACATCCGCGTTGCGGAAGATCCAATTGCCGCGACGTCGTCGTCGCTTGTAAGACGCGAGCTGAGGAACGAGTATTGTTAGAGGGTAGATGTGTCGGCAAATGATTGGTTGCCACCGCATACACTTAGCTCCACGGACAAAACGGCATAATATTTTCGGCTTGTTTCGTAGGGCGAGGACATAAGGTAAAAATAATAATTGCCTTTTGAAACTTTTTCGAAAAAGGTTGAATTATTCAAGGTTATCTTTTTACACCGCTCATTCGCTGATTCGTCCACCGTGATTGGTAGACAAGAGTTTTTCTGCGAGATACTTTGTAACGCGATTCATTTGTCGAAATCGGAAACTACTGCGATACTTTCAAGGTCGTTGGCTATTTCACGAAAAAAGGACAACGCCGGGAATCTCACCGCGCTGCGGAAACAAGTACGAAGTCTTTTTCTGTTCGAGTGAAAAGTCGCAAGTCCGTTTCCGTCGTCTGGAATCTTTTCTCACTTTCGAAAAATAAAAATCATCCGCGACGGAACAGAATGCAGGGGCAGAGAATTGCCATGTGCGAATGTAGAGCGCATGATCTAACAACGACCCGGAAAACATTCCTGAAAACTTGCGCGAAAGAAGAAACGACAAAAGTGCATTGTTACCGGAAGAATCCGCTTATGAGGATGGGTACTTTCCGATATTAAGTCAATTTGGAGAGAGCGTGTTCGCGCGACGTGTCTTCGTGAACTTCGATAATATTGACCAGTTAAAACGATTCGCGCGGAGCCAGGCGAACTTATGACCATGTAAAATACAAAATGCATATACAAATGAAATGCAAAATTCGCCAAAGTATTAATCATGCATTTATCAAGCATTATAAAATCAATGAAGCGCATATGATATCGAACTCATTAAAAGCTGATCCTTTACTAATCTATAACTGTCAATCATTGACCAATAATTCGTTACTCAGTTACGATTCATTATTAACAATTAACTAGATATCCATTTTCATGGCACATTTATACTATCTAGGAGTGATTTTGCACGACAATATTAGTAGCAACTACAACAAAGTCACAAATGATACGGTTTGCACAGAAATTTTTATTACAATTCACTTCTATGTCGTAACAAACGGAAAATTATATGCTTTGCAATACGATTCGTTTTTTATTCTTTCAAATAAATATTGAAATCTCGCGCTTCCAATCGTAGATTCACTTTTAGCTAGAGAGGAAAGAAAATTAACGCGTTTTTGATTATATCGAAATTAATCGACGATATAGAGCCAACAGTCGCTTCATCATCGGAAGCGTCTCAGCTGTAAAGTGCAATTTATCCCATATCGTTGCGACTTTTTTACGCGGAGATATCGACGACGAGCGGCGAATCCTTTGACGGGGACCGGGCCCGGCAACAATGTTATGCGCTGTTCGTGCTCAGTCGAGAAGCACTCAGTCTAAGAAGGGATAGGATGCGTAGTATGAACGTCCTACATTGAGAAATTATTCGATAAAAAATTAACAAACAGATATTTCCGATCAAAATACAGATGAATTTTTGGATCCGATCAGGAAACACCTGATGAGAAATATTGCTAATTTTTTATTAGTTTATCTAATAAAATGCCATTATAATCGGAAATATTCGATTCAATTTAATCGGATATCCTGGTCGGATATAAAAATTCATCGGTATTTTAATCTAAAATACCCGATTGTTAATCTTTTATCGGCTAATTTTTCTCAGTGTACAATGGTCGTTTTTTGAAATGCGTTAAAAGTACTGACAGTGCTGATTTTTGTGTTCAAAATTATTTCTAGCATACTGCAAGAGAACAGTAGTTACTACTTTTTTAAAGCTTAATCTACAATATGCTTTTTGCTTCCTGTTTTTTTCTCTTTATTTCATTCAAATCTTAAAGCTTAATATACAATGTGTACTTTGCTTTCTGTTTCTTTCTCTTTATTTCTTTCTGAAACCTTAAGTCTTAAATCTGACCTATAATGTGCTCTTTGCTTCCTATTTCTTATTCTTTATCTTTTTCTAACTAAAAGCTCAAGGTTTAAATCAGAAAGAGATAAAGAGGTAAAAATAGAAAGCAAATTTCAAATCTCCATATTTTAGTGAAAATACGTTAAGTGTCTTTGCTTATTTCACGGCTTTCTGCGAGAGGTCTTCACTATAACTTTTGCAGGTCCTTAACGAAAGTAGTTCCTAGGGAATTGCTAACTTCCGGCTGATTCTGCACATACTTCCGAGATAGTGCAAGTTCAGTAATGCACATGGCGACTGGCGGTTTAAGATAAATAAGTAAGTATATAAGAGAAGAAATATAAGAGGGAGAGAGAGAGAGAGAAGAGAATTACAAATGATGTTACTAATGAAATATATTGTTAATATTATTATAATATATAATTAATCGATGGAAATTAAAATAATATATATGAAGTATATTTTTGTCACCAGATGATTATCAAAAAATATCATCAAGTTATAATTATTAACTTTTACAATCATTAAAGAAAACCAAGAACGAGAGAAAGAGTGTCATAAAAATCATCATAAATTAACTATTACAAACTTAAAATTTTAATAATTAGTTTATATACATACAAACTAAATATTATTAAAATTTTACTATATATATATATATATATTATATATATATATATATATATATATATATATATATATGTATATATATATACATACATATATACATATATAATATAGCAAACACAATTTTGTTCTCCAAATTTAAAAAAGTATAAAAAAGGTGGACTAAGTTAAAATAACTGGTGTTAGATTTACTATAATTATAAATTTACTTCACATTCTCTTTATGCGCTTTTCTTAGATAAGTTATATCGTTCATGTTGTCTGCTAACACTGCATGATATAGTAAATGCATCCCGATTTTCCATACTGTCTACTAACAATTTCGGTACGACTGAAATACGTCAATTTTAGTAGCGGTACTGTCAGTATTGTCGACGTATTTCGAGAGACAGCCAATGTGCGAGACGCGTACCCTGCCAATCGGCTTTTTGGAATGGCCTGATTGAAAAAATAAATAAACGGCTATAATTCAACGAGAAATTGACGTGCGAACGTGAAACAAACGCCGTTTTTTTTTGGTTTCTCGTGCAGTGCGCGTTTATGCTGCTTGCACCTGTCACGACACGCGCTCACGTATGTGATCATATCACATGCGATATCGTATAGAAGCGCCAGAATACATTTGGGTACGGAAATAATGAGTACCAAAAATTCTCGTTATTGAAATAAAATACAAAATTTTGCGCGTAATTCATTGGAAAATTTTCTGGATTTCTCTCGTAACCCGCAATTTCTGCCAAATTATACATACGTGATTAAAAACTTGGATTAATATTATGGAACCAACGTCGAGCACTGCGGAAATTTATCATTAATTGATGCTGCGAATAATAATCACCCAAAAATGGTTGCAGACGTCGGACCCGAGTCCGACTAACCGTAATTCAATGCTACTAATGTCGGGCAGAAAATATTAAAAGCCCAGCGCCCAGTAACGATTCGAGCCTAGGTCGATTGCAAAATTCTATATCAAAGATAAAATAAACGCACGCACTGTCGATAATACACAACAAGAGTACATGACGACAGTTTGTCGCCAAATTAACTGTCGCATCTAGAACTTGGTACTGTTCTGTTGATTGCTACGTAGGATACTGAAAACTAAAGATTTTCACAAAAGCAGAATTATATTAATTAAGAAATAGCTCAAAGGAGATCATTTCGAGCGTCTCGGTGACATTCCGTCAATGAGATACGCGACGTGTGAGAATTTCGACGCGTGAATACAAATCACTTTAATAAGCAAAAGCGTATTAGACAGGAATAATGTCTCGTCTGTATTCGCACAGATACGCGAATGTCGGGAATATTTATTGGCAGAGGCGCCGTATGTGAAGTTGCCACTTTTATTTGCTCCAGAGCCCGTCGTAACTACACGTCCTCATTTCTGTGTTCCATATTTTTGCAAAAATCCTGATATATTATGAACACCTCGGCAGCTGCGATTTCACAATCTCGCACGTGACAACGTTAAATTCGCGGCAACTATGCGAATACATTGTTTTGGGAACTACGAAGGTACATGTCGGATTAAGGTATAATCAATGCGAGAAAATGAGAGCGAGTTAACGAAGCGTGTCGAATTATACGGCGAAATACATTTCACATCGACGAAACGAGGACCGAATGAGACGAGCTTGTAGATTCCTCAGGAGAAAGAGAGAGAGAGAGAGAGAGAGAGAGAGAGAGAAGGGAGAGGACGAGGGGAAGGGGGGGAGAGAGAGAGAGTGACTAAATTACGAACAGACGCGCTACGCGTCTCGTACATATCAGACGATAAAACTCGCCGAACTTCGGGAGGATAGACGCGCTGACAGGCTCGCGAAACGTATAGAATCTCAAACTTGGAAACTTGCTGCACGCGAGAGAGATGGCTTTCATGCAGGTACGTAAATATAACGGGACTTTTCCGGGCTCACTCGACGGCGTGGCGCACCTACAGGAAGAAGGCAGGTTTATTCGCTGAACTTATAATGGCTCGACTTCGAGGCGGATTTTATCCTCGTTACGGCTACCGGTAAAAACGTACTGTTCGAAAGTGCATTAACTCTCTCCCCTCTCTCTTTATTCCTTCTTTCTCTCTCTCTCTCTCTCTCTCTCTCTCTCTCTCTCTCT